CAACAACAACAACAACAACAACAACAACAACAACAACAACAACAACAACAACAGCAGCAACAGCTGTGGTCTATTTGGTTGTTTTTGGTTGTGGCAGGGGGTTAGGCCTAGCCTATTGTATTGTTTGGCTGAAAGTGTGAGAGTGAGTAAAGTGTGAGTCTGTGTTCAGTTGTATTGTTTGCAAGTTTATAAAAGCTGATGATTGAAGAGGTAGTTGATTGCATTCAAAAGGAAGATCCAGTGCGAGAGAGGTGGGGAGTTAGGTCAGCGAAGGAAGGGGTGGTGTGGTGTGACGCCAGCAGCTTGGGCATGGGAGTCGTGGTGGAAATTGATGGTGTCATTGTTGAGGATGGGGCTTGGATGAGGAAGAATGACGATTATCACCACATTAATGTGGCGGAACTGGAGGCCGTGTTAAAGGGTGTCAATCTAGGGATTAAGTGGGGTCTGGAGACTATTACAGTGGTCACAGATTCAGCAACCGTTAGTGGGTGGATCCAGTTGACGATGTCGGGGGAGAAACGTGTGAGAACATGTGGCGCAGCAGAGATTTTGGTAAAGCGGAGACTTGGGACACTGAAGACTCTCATAGAAATAGAAGAATTAGGGATACAGGTCCAGATCCGACTCGTGCCTTCAAAGGACAACAAGGTTGACTCTTTCACTAGAGTAAAGAAAGAGTGGTTGGCTCAAACCAGCAAACCAGAAACGAGTAAGAAGAGAGCTGTGATCGGCGCTGCAACAAGTACCGTTGTCATGGACATGCATAACCAGCACCACATGGGGGTTGAACGGTCATGGTATCTGGCTAAGGAAGTTGATCCGACAATAACAAAGGAGCAAGTGAAGAATTGTGAGAGATGTCAGTCGATAGACTCTGCTCCATTACAACACGAAACTGGGGGTTTGGAGGTTAGCACAGTCTGGGAGAGGCTTGCAGTGGACGTTACTCATTTTCACAATATACCTTACCTTACCTTACTATGGTGGACTGTGGTCCTGGGAGGTTCACCATTTGGCGGCAACTCAGAAGTGAAACAGCGCAGTGTATAGTGGCGGAGTTGGATCAGGTATTTTGCGAACGGGGTCCAGTTAGGGAACTTCTTTTGGATAACGCAACAGCCTTTAAATCAGAATTGTTTGCTCAGTTTTTTGAGGGATGGAATGTGCAACCTTACTACAGAGCAGCATATAGACCTAGTGGGAATGGTATTGTCGAACGGAATCACCGGTTCCATTAA